ATCTCGTTCGCATAAGCTCTGTTTGTAAACAACAATAACAGCAGATAGAAAATAGGGATCTTTTGAGCAAGATTTATCGCGTTTCCTCAGATGGAATTTCCTAAAATTTGTGAAACCGTTAAACGTATTTGTGCCCTCCCTAGTGCCTGTTGATAAAAACAATTCATAGGACCAAATAGCGAGGAAACTGCCTTTGTAATCCCTTTTTTCCGACTTTTTAATGATCGGCAGGAAAAATTGTGAACATTTTGAGAGATTTCACCGAAGCAAATTGCCAAGCAGAATGTTACTGGCGAGCACCTCTCTTCGTGGAGCCTTAGCTTCATAACGAAAATCATTTTGTAGATGCCTAGGTAAGGTGAATTTTTACGAACGTTGTGTTCGGATTTAGGAATTTCGCGCGAGAAAGCTCACCACGTATATTTCTGTGTACGCAAAATGATTTACTACAGAAAACGATTATCCGAACCTTGCTCGTCGGCTTTCGATGGCTTTTAGTGACCTTGTAAAGCAAAATCATAATATTTTTTTACAAAAACAATACGATGGCGTGCGCGCCAACATTGAGCAAAAACCCCACAGAGCCTACTTAAGTGCAATTCTGCAATTTTATCACATTTTTTTTTTTTTACCATTAATTGTCATTTTCTGGAACTTATTCGTGGATCTAGGTGGTAGCCAAAATCTTTTGAAATGCATTCCAAGTACCTTTATCCCTCTGTAACTGAACTCTTTGTTCTCGATGAAGTTGGCCCTAGCTGGTCTCTCAAATCGATCTGAGTCACTGATCTGGCACTTCCATCTCTCAGATTTCTTCTTTGTGCCTCCAAAGTTGTAAGACTTACATCGCTCTTCGTTGACACACTCCAGTCTACAAGAGCTTTCTGATTCCACCTCTATCTCCTTTATCACGCTCCCGTTGAGTTGTTTCCCGTCCATCATCTGGCCAAAATTAGCTGCTTGAAATCTGGGAAACGTGTTTGAAATGCGACTTGTTGCATAAGCAGTGACACTGATCAAGAATAATATTAGTACGTGCATGTTTAAGCAGATAGGTAGATCAAGACGTTTCCTTAACCAAAATTGGGATGCTAAGGATATTAGTTAGACTCGTAGCGTAACTTGTTTTTGACTCTGATCCAGCCAAAGACTCGTAATCTCAATGCGCTTGGCACCTGGCAATTTTGCCTATTGTTAATTCTTACCTTTGTTTTTATAAACATTTTTTGCTGAATTCTTAGCCAGCACCTTTAGCACTTCGCGGTTAACATTTGGCGTAATTTCAAACAAATATGTTATGAAATCACTCTTTAAAGAGAAAAATAATTGGGACAGAAACATGTTTTAGTCTTTGTAACCTGCTTGGACCTTTCAGATAGGCTAGAATGGCAGTTCTCCATTTAATTTTTAAAAGATCCATGTGAAGAAGTCCTTTTAATTAAAGAAAAAATAGGATAGAAGTAATATTTTGCCAAGAGTTCCTTTGTTACTTGTTTTCAACAGCTTTGAAGTTGCTCTCATTAAACTCTTTTATGTGCTTACGATAGACTAATGAGAGGTTTTCATTGTGATTGTGTGAGCTAAACACAAAATGATAAGTTGGGTAAGGTACAAATGAATGAAGGGTGTAATATTCTAGAGAAACTGTGGTGGCCACCGTAAAGAGTTTCAAAGCTGACGTTTCGTGCGTTGGCCCTACGTCTCGAAACACTGCCTGTAAGAAATGCGTGACACCCTCACGAAGACTGTGTGAAAAAGTCCTGCACAGAGATCACTCTAAAAGCTTCTGTTTCTTGTGTTGTGCTCTCGTAAAGAAATTATATTTACATTTCACACGTTTTTACATGTGAAGTTTTCGCCACTCTTACGATGTTATACATTTACGATTCCTTTGGCTCAAAGAGAGAAAGTATTTTTAGAGTAGGAAAATAGAGTATGTAGTAATTAGTAGCGCAAAAATAAGTCTTGCTAAAACAAAGCTAAAACAGAAATTAATTCATAAGAAATGTTTGAAAGGATGTGCCTCAACAGGCGGTCATACAATCCAACAGCGTGTTTACAAAAGCTTAACGACAATGACAGCTGCATACGCATTGAAGCGTTGTGGTTGGTTGAACATCTAGAGGTGTGTCTGGGGGAGGGGGCTAAGGAACGAAGTGAGGTTCTCCCATTTAGGGACACTTTCTGCC